ATGCCCTTCCCTCCCTTAAGTGCATGTCTATACTAAACAAAAAAACCAAAGTCAACATCATGTGTATGGGGCAACCTCTGAGCACCCTAACTGAAGTTAAGGTATCTTTCCTTTCCCCAGACAGGAAGATAGCAAGGGGTCCATGACAAGGAGAGGTGATTGTGAGAAGTCAAATGGTACTCATCCAAAAGGCCTGAAGTCCCCCTCCTCTCCCCACTCAGTCTCTGGGTTTGTCATGAGTTCCCCCCTTCCCCCTACTCAGTCTTGGGTTTGCCATGAATTCCCCTTCCCCTCTTTTAGAGTGGAAGAGATTCTGGGTAGAACCATTGGTCTCCCTTCTTCACCTGCTTGCTCTCAGGTTGGGCCAAGCTTGACCCAAGAGAGGTGAGACCTATGTGGATGTTACGAGAGGGTTGCTACCCCTCAAGAAAACTGAGTCTAGTCCCCCTAAATGGCCCTGCTACTATAATGTGCAACTTCTTGGGATTTATTCTTCTTCCATCGGGACAAAGTAACATTGACTTCCCATCTCTCTCCCTGGCAGGAAGTTTCAGCTGCTCCAGCCATCTGTGGTGGGAGGTTGCATGGAATCTTGTCCTGGGCAAAAGGAAGTGTCACCCTGGGCAGTCAAGGATTCTTCACAGAAATTCATCCCTATGCAAGATGGATCCTAAAAACCATGAACAGGCAATGAGGCTCCTCTGTTCCTCCATCCCCTCAGTGCAACATCTTTATGGCTTCTACACTGGATCCCCAACTCTCTTGACCTTTCTTATTCTTGAACAGAATCCAAATTTTTAAAAATTCAATTAAAAATGGCATTAAGAACTCATGCTGTGGTCCCTGACCTCTTGTGAAAACAATGAGAAATTTAGCAACACCCCCATCGTTTGTTCATTCATTCAAAAATTATGGAATCGTCGGCTACTCAGCAGGCACTACATATGCTAGGGGTACCTGAGTGAATATGACAGTCTTTGCCATCAATCGGCCAATTAAAATACTTTGTGACAATTGCCATAATGGAGATAAGCAATAAAGTTTTGTGAGAGCATAGAATAAAAACCATGTCAGGGGAGGTGTCACCAAAGAGACAGATACATTAGGAGACAACATTGGAAAACTGAGGGTATCGTTAAATAAAAGTCAGCAAAGCATAAAAATGTGGCATGTATTGGAAAATCTATGTGAATAAGGAATACCAGAGACAAAATGGAGAGAGAACGTGATAAAAGATTGTTTTTTGTAGGTGAGAAAATGTTTGTGAAAGGCCGGACCTCTTGGGTAAAATNGATACATTAGGAGACAACATTGGAAAACTGAGGGTGTCGTTAAATAAAAGTCAGCAAAGCATAAAAATGTGGCATGTATTGGAAAATCTATGTGAATAAGGAATACCAGAGACAAAATGGAGAGAGAACGTGATAAAAGATTGTTTTTTGTAGGTGAGAAAATGTTTGTGAAAGGCCGGACCTCTTGGGTAAAATGATTCAGATTTTTATCTTGTAGGTATCAGAGGGGGTGCCATTAATGCCTCCAAATTAGAATATCATCAAGTTTCTGAATTGGGGGAGACTAAGAAAGCTGCATCTGTACAATACATCTGTAGATGTATTGACTGTGAGTAGAAANATATCATCAAGTTTCTGAATTGGGGGAGACTAAGGAAGCTGCATCTGTACAATACATCTGTAGATGTATTGACTGTGAGTAGAAAAAAGAAGAAAGAAGGACATGTATGGGTTAACGCCCAAGTTTCTGACTTCGGCAACTGGGTAGGTGGTGGTTCTCAAAGATAATATAAACAGAACCAATTCTTTCATCTATAAAGGATCAGGAGCATGGTCATGAATTAGAGATGGGGCATGATATTTTTGGCATTCCTGAAGGACATGGATGCCGTCATTTCTAGAGGACATCTCAAGACAAAGCTCTGGATCTCAGATGATGTCTGGGCAATGACAGCCAGGGAGGCCTATATTTGTGGGTATCAGCCTCAGGCTTCGGTCGAGTTTAGTTCTATTAGGAAGAGTTCTGATGGGTGCTTAATCTTTCTCTCACACTGGCATATGGTGGGGAGATGGACAGCGTCCCAGACCCATTGACCAACATACCTAAAAACGCAGAATTCTGAGTAACAAGAGTGATCTATGAGAGGCCATGGAGCTCCATGTAGGGGAGGGCCAGGTGACATGGGCAAGGAGAGACAGAGACCAGTGAGGTGGGGAGGTAGGGAATAATGCCATTGGAGAAAGACACTGCAAAGAATGAAGAGGTCTGGAGACCCATCCTATGAGGGTGACATATATATAAATATAACCATGGGGCTGACATCCCATCATTTCCATCATAGTCTAGTAGTTCGAAGTAAGCCACAGGTTCCACCCAAGGGGAAGCAGCTGAGGATTATGCAGGGCGTAAACATGGGCCTTCAATNCCATCATAGTCTAGTAGTTCGAAGTAAGCCACAGGTTCCACCCACACTCAAGGGGAAGCAGCTGAGGATTATGCAGGGCGTAAACATGGGCCTTCAATAGAATTCTGTTAAATAATGAATTTATTGGCTCCTTATTTCCTAAATAGTAAAGACTTCTGCAAGTCTAAAATATGCAAGGCCTACATGATAAGGCTTTTCAGGCTTGAATCCCTGCTTGTCTCTCCACCCAGCTCCTAACACATCCCCTATATAATACTCATAGTCCCACAAACACGCCATGTTATTTCACATGTTCGTGCCTTTCAAAAGCCTTTCTTTTTAAATTCTTTTTTCCTTTCTTTTTATGCCAGACAGGCTCCTTCCCTTTCTCTAAGCCCCAGGTAAAGCGTAACTTCTGGGTACTCCTTTCTTAGACACACTGTAGACTAAAGAAGTGTCCTTAGCTCTGTGCACCAAGGTGTCTATTACCTCCATTTAAAATTCTTTTTTCTCCCAAATTTTATTATGAAAAATTTTACACATACGACAAAGCTGAAAGAATTTTACAGTGTTTACCTGTATACCTACCACCTGAATTCTACCATTGAGCAACCTATATTTTTATTAACATCTTGCATTGGTGCAAAACAACTGATAAATCAATATGGATACGTTAGTATTAGCTGAAGTCCATAGTTTACATTAGGGTTTGCTCTTTATGTTATATATTGCTATGGGTTTTGATAAAAGCATAGTGTCATAATCCACAATTAGAGTATCATACAGAATAACTTTCTCCTCAAACTCTGACAATCATTGATATTTATACTGTCTCTCTATTTGGCCTTTCCAAAATGTCATAAATTGGAATCACACAAGATATATTTTCAGACTGGTTTCTATCACTTAGTAATATGCATTTATGTCTTTCAGCACTTGATAGCTCATTTTCTAAAGAATCACTAAATAAATATTCCATTGTACGAACATACCACACATTGTTTATTCATTTACTTATTTAAGGACCTCTTGGTGGCTTCCAAGGTTTGAAGCTGCCAAGCTGTCACCTAAAGTGTCTGCACCATTTTGCACTCCCCGCAGCAATGAATGAGGGTTCCTCATGCTCCACATTCTTGCCAACATTTGGCGTTTTCAGTATTTTGAATTTCAGCCCTTCTACTAGGTATGTGGTAGTAACTTGTAATTCCCTGACGACATGTTGAGAATCTTTTCATTGCTGTTTGCCATCTGTATATCTTCTTTTTCATTATGGACTGAACTGTGCCTTCCCAAATTTTGTTAAATAATGAATTTATTGGCTCTTTGTCTCCTAAACAGTAAGACTTCTGCACATTTATTGCTGAAACCCCAAACCCCGTCTGTGACTGTTTTTGGAGATAGGGGCTACAGGAACTAATTAAGGTGAAATGATGTCATAAGGGTGGGGCGCTCATCTGATAGGATTAGTGTCCTTATAAAAAGAAACAACAGAGATGATTCTTTCTCCCTCTGAGCTTACATACAGAAGAAAGGTCATGAGAGGACACATCGAAAAGGCTTCTGTCCACAAGCCAGGAAGAGAGCTCTCACCAGACACTGAATTTGCTGGCAACTTAGTCATGTACCTCTAGTCTCCAGAACTGTGAGAAAAGAAATGTCTGTTGTTTAAGTCACCCGGTTGTGGTATTTTGTTATGGCAACCTGAGCAGACATTTGGTTAGGTGTCTGTTCAGGTCTTTGGCCCACTTTTTAACTGGGTTGTTTGTTTCCTTCCTGTTGAGTTCCAAGATTTCCTTGTATGTCTTGAACACAAATGATTTGATGGACATGTGTTTTGCAAATATCCCCACCTAGACAGTGGTATACTAGATTTTTAGCTCTGAATACTTTGTAATTGCCTGTTATTGTCCGTATCACTCCTCTAGGCTATACGCCCTTTGAAAGGAGAAAGTATCTTCACATTTAGGCAAACTCAGCAGCAAGCACAGAGCCTAGCACCAGTCAGAAGCATAATATAAATCATGGGCTAGCTGGTTGAATAAATAAATGGGCGAGCAGTGACATGAAGGAAAGTGCTAACACACCTTGAGGAGGTGCTTAGTGTCAGGCAGAGGGGTGGAGGTCAGCACAAGAGCGCTGGGTTGTAGCCACTGGAGATGAACGTCAACGGCACATAAACAGGGGCCAGCATCACATAGATGGGTGGGGCCCTTTCCTGCCTGTAGCTCAGGAAGGGACATGATCGCAGAGTTTCACTAACGGGCCCCGGAGAGAAGCATGCTATGAGCTTCAACAGCTCTCAGATCAGGTACTTTTTAATCTGATCGAGAGCAAAACACTGGCCTGGTGCCTACCCGATCCCGTTCCTTGTCCTTGTGACACTTGGTACGGCCACCTGCTCTGACTGATAAAACGCCTCTTTTGGAACGAAATCTTGCCACTGGAAGAATTCAGATGATCATTTTTTCCAAGCCTAGAGCCCCTTCCTGCCTTATCTAATGTAGTCTTTCACTCTCTCTCGCCTCTTCTTCCTCTCCAGAGACTCTGAGCTAAACCTCACTTTGAAAAGGCTTTTGGCATCATTATGAAGTTCATTCTCTCCTGGGTGATCTTGAACCTGCCTTGTGAGTGTCTGCACATTTTTATTTATTTGCCAAAGATAAATCCTGGGGGGTGGGGGGAGACGTGAAATGTGGATAAAGACAGGAACAACGTTCCAGACCACAAGCGTAGGCCGGATTCTCTCCCTCNGTGTTTTTATTTATTTGCCAAAGATAAATCCTGGGGGGTGGGGGGAGACGTGAAATGTGGATAAAGACAGGAACAACGTTCCAGACCACAAGCGTAGGCCGGATTCTCTCCCTCACTGCGGCCACCGTCCCCACCAGGTTCCCTCCTGGGGCACTGTCTGTCTGCCTCGCCTCAGGTTGACCGGGCTATGCTTTTGGGGGGAGGCACGGACATTGGAACCCTAATACCAGACCTGCTCCTGAGGAAGACTGAGAGCTGGCCTTGGGCCTGTGTAAAACAGGATTGATTTTGGTCTGAGACAATGGGAAGTGGAGGCAGAGGTTGAAAGCAGGGGTCCAAGAGCATTCAAGGGTTTGGGTCCTGTCTGGGCATGGTTCCAGCTATTCAGGCAAAAACCTTGAAGGCAATCAGGAATTCCCTTTCTCTCACACACCACATTCAATCGTTTGGAAAATTGTGGTGACTCCGTCTTCTAAACAAATCCCGGATCCAGTCTCATCTCACCACCTCCACTGCTCACCATGGTCCAAGCCACCATCTCTTGCCTGGATTATCAAATGATTCGCCCAACAGGCCTCTCTGCTTTATACTCCTACACTAAATACTTCTCCGTAAGGAAATCATCATCACTCCTTTATCACCCATCACACACCCAGTTTCACTCAGAGGCCCGTCCACACCCTTACGACACCCAACCAAGCTCTGCCTCGCCTCTGCGGCCTCTCTCCCCCTGCTCCTCCTCACTCACCATGCCAGCGCATCGGCCTCTCTGATGTTTCTCAGGCAGGCACTAGAACTTTTCCCCAGCTGTTTCCTCTGCCTGAAATCCCCTCCCTCAGCTTCACTTCACTGTTCATCTCTCACACCCAGGAGATCTACCCTGATACTGGTGCAATGCTGCACAGTGCCCCCAACACACACACACACACACACACGCCTCTGCTACTTCCTTCCTTCCCCTTTCCCTGTTCTACTTTTTTTTTTTTCCCAAAGCACTAATCACCATCTAACTTGCTGTCTCATTTACTTCTGTATTGTGTTTGTTATTATTGACTGTCTCCACTCATCAGAATGTCTGAGAGAAAGGATATTTCTCTGTTTTGTTCACTCTATGACCCAAGCACCTCAAAGAGCCTGGCACCACCAGGCACTCAATGTTTGCTTGTTAAATGAATGGATGATTTCCCCTCCTTCGACTCTGTTAGCGCTTGGTCTGCTCTTTAAATAGACTTAGATCACTCTGCCTTGCATTGTTGTTAGAAGGATGGGAGGAAGTTGGTCAAAACGTTCTAAAAATGATGAAATAGTTAAGTTCTTCATGAGTTTATTTAACTGAATTGTGGACGGTCTTTGAGAAAGTTTGTGTTTTCACTAGAAGAACATCTGTTGACAACTAAAAAGAAAAAACACCTTTTATCTTTCGAAATAAATATGTTCCTATTATTTTACAACAAAATTCAGCTCATAGTTAAAGGTGCTGGAGAGAAGGGTCGGGGAAACTTGGGTCTATTAAATAATTTTCCTTTGTTTTTTCAAGTGAGCCCTGAAAAAAAATCTCAGAATTTCCTTTCTATGTTTCTCTTTCCAGGTGTTTTGGCCTATGACCCAGATTACCCACATGGCACTAGTCCCCCATACCTGGTCTACCTGAAATCTGATTACTTCCCCTGCACTGGAGTCCTGATCCACCCCCTGTGGGTGATTACAGCTGCGAGCTGCAACTTACTGTGAGTAATAAGCCCCCAATGCCCAATCTATGTTTGGGGTTCTCAGGTTGGGCACAGACCCAGACTCCCGCCTGGGACCACCGCTCATTAATCACATGGGATTAGGGAGGCCCTCTGGGATGCTCAGTAGTAGAGAAATAAGTCTGTGGGAGGAGCTAACAAAGGCCCAGAAGGATGGATAGGCCATCTCTGTTGAGTCCTCTCAAGAACACCCATATTGTTCCAGGAATGTCAAGGTGATGCTGGGAATTACAAACCCATCAAAAGTCACTGAACAAAATGTAGAAGTTGTTGGCTTGGTGAAGATGATTAATCATCCCGACTTCTTGATCACTTCTATTGAGAACAACCTAATGTTGATCAAGTTGAAAAAATACATTTTTGTCAAAGACTATGTGAAAGTGGTCAGCTTACCCGAAGCACCTGCCACTGAAGACACCATGTGCACCGTCTCCACCTGGGCCTACAACCTGTGTGACATCTGTGAGTGACTCCAATATCATCTCTCAGAACGGGACATGCTTCTATCCCTTCTCTGCTCTTGGCTTCTGCGATCTCCCCAGTTCTTTCTTCTGACGTCTTTATTCACCTCTTTCACCCCCTTTCCCTATAGCTCTCTGAGGGAGTCCTTCAAGCCTTTCCCCCCACTATCTTTCAATTACTTCTCCTTTCACATACGATAGAAGTGGTGTTAGTGGAAAGAAGACGTGTATTCTGCTAATATGCTACATGACAATGGGCCACTTCACCGTGGACCCTCAATTTTCTTAACTCCAAAATGTGGCACAAACTGTGTCAGATGTTTTCAGACTATTCCAGGCAATCAAGAAACTTAAAGCCTTGAACTACCGTGAAATAATATTCATGTATTAAACGTAAGGTGTATTCATGATATTGCCCTTACCCAGGCAGACTTTCCTTACGCAAGATTGCGATACAGGTAAGTAATGAAAACTTTCAGAAAAATGTTTCTGAAACATTTTGAAATGATAACATTCTGAACATTCTCCCATTTATTCAGAAAACTCTCATGATTTTTATGAGTAGAAGTCTCCTATATGTAATTTGAAACCGCCAAACTACATGTTCTAACTAAGCTTTCTTCTATGTCACATTTTTCAGATTCCATTAAAAAAAAAAAAATCTTTGAGTAAATTAAGACAGCTTTCTCTTGTCTAAGTTTTGTGCCTGTCTGCCCCCATCCCATTCCAAAATGTCCATGAAAATTCTAATCAATCGTCTGTAGCTATGAATCAAGATAGTGAATACT